GACGATCACGCTCGAGGTCGAGTCGTCGGACACCATCCAGAACGTGAAGGCGAAGATCCAGGACAAGGAGGGCATCCCGCCGGACCAGCAGCGCCTCATCTTCGCAGGTGACTAATTGTGGTTCGTAGTGTGTGCCTCGGTGATGATGAGGTGTGCAGTGCAATCGGTGTCCTGGCCTCTGAGAGTGGCGTGATTTAGAAACGCACTTCTGAACCGTTGCTGCACATGCATTTCCAGTAAATTCCAGTTTTTCTTAACTGTTGTTGTGCTGACTCCCGAGTGCGCCAAAGTGTGGTGCGCACGAGGACGGACCCAGCTTTGCTCGTGTTTTCATTTCTTCTAACGAACAGGTAAACAGTTGGAGGATGGACGAACGCTCTCCGACTATAACATTCAGAAGGAGTCGACGCTTCATCTTGTACTGAGGTGAGATTTGCTCCTCTATCGCTCGAAATGCCATTGCTTTGCGGTGATGATGAGAACCTTTGGTGCACTGATGTGATGAAAGAAACATAGCTCTCTGAACCTGCAAACCATTTTTCTGGATAAAAATTCGCAAGATTTTCTCCTTCCTCTCTCTAATTTTTTCTTTTTTTCAACCTCAGACTGCGTGGTGGCGGCAAGAAGAGAAAGAAGAAGGTGTACACCACGCCCAAGAAGACAAAGCACAAGCGAAAGAAGGTGAAGTTGGCCGTGCTCAAATATTACAAGGTAAACCTTGACCAATTTATTCTGCAAAATAAGGGTGTAATAAACCCAGTAAATGAGGGCAGTTATAGTAATAATAGTGGAAAAAAACGAAGAATCCGAAGATGCAGCAACAGTATCAATTGCCTAAAAGCCTACTGGAAATAGTAACAAATACAAAGATAGCGTTAAGAAAAAATGAAAAAAAATCTGTTTTTGAGCAGCAAAATCCTGCATTCAAATAATGCACAGATTGTCATTCCACTGGAATTTTTCATGTTTCACATTTTAGGTCGATGAAAATGGCAAAATTTCCCGTCTGCGCAAAGAATGCTCATCGCCGACCTGTGGTGGAGGCGTTTTCATGGCCAGTCATCAGAATCGATATTACTGTGGCAAATGTTATCAGACATTGGTGATGCAGGATCCGAAGGAAAAAATCGCGGGAAAGAGCAAATGATAATATTTTTGTCCTGTTTTGTTGTTTACGCTGTTGCTTACGCGGAGTTCCGTGATAAACTTGATAATTCGTAGCTTGTTGATCCTCACAATCTAAACGCTTTTATTCTCCATACATTCACATCGACAGGCCATTCGTACACATTCCCATTGCCGGCGCCTTCATACTTCTTAGTTTTCGCACTTTTTATGCGTTCACATCGGCACGTTGGATTTGACAGCTTGTTTATATGCACTGGGTACGGCAATCTTTGGTTTCCGCCATTTCCTTTTGTCTCAAATTATTGTCATAGCAAGCACATTTCGGCAACATACTTCAAAAATATAACTGTAGTTCTTAGGGGGTCAGGACTGTTCTGTTGAAAATTGGTTCCCAGTTCGCTATAATATGGAACATCACTATGTTTGACTTTGACAGAATGTGTTCCACTCCCAAAAAAGGGTTTTGCTTTTGCATATGCATCAGGTGAAACGATATGGTTCATTTTCCGTTGCGTATTTTGGTGCAGTCCGTATTGGCAGTTTCCACCTTACAGCAGTGTGACTGGACATGCATATTCCGCGCTTTTACGCGTTTTTATTTTGCATCTGTGCAGTGCAAAAACACATTGTCTAGCAGAGTTATCTCTGTGTGTGTGTGTGTGTCTGTTTGTATATTTATGTCTGTGTGTGCATTTTTAACGATTTTTCACCTCGAGATCCACAAAAGCTACAAGGCTGGAACTTTGATAACTTAATCTACACATACGTGCGGGCCCTTACCTTCGAAATGTGCGCTCATATCTACGTGGTCCTCACATATGGGTACGTGAGTTTTTTTGGCGAGAAGGCGTTTTCGGGGACGGCGCAAGCTGAAACTTCACAGAGATGTTCCTCGGCAGTTTCTAATCAGAAGGTTTCAAATTCAGCCTTCACGCACCTCTAAGTCTCACGTACGCACACGTTAAATTTTAAGTTGGCGTCACGCCAACTACATTTAAGCTGACCAAGAAGTAGTAGAGAACTGCGATTTTGCAGCGTTACTTGTCGCATACTATTGTGCCACTTGATGTAAATTAAGCTTCCTGCGTCTCATGTGCGGGAACGTGAAAATCTCACGCAGGCACTTTTGTAACTTCAGAATTAAAGCAACTAGAGGACTGGAACTTGCTGAGCGTAACCGACGTTGGCCTCTGACCAGATGAACGTAAGAACGACTTCAACGTTCCTTTCATGTCTCGCGTACACACACGTGCAATTTGACGTAACTTTACGACCAAAGTAGCGGTGAAATTTTCTGAGCGTCATTCAAGACCGTGTTTGAGCAAGCGCACGCATTAACAGCATTGACGTTGCCACTCACGTGCAGACACTTGAGATTTGACGTAACTATGCAAACGAAGCGTATACTGTGCTGGATTTTTTATGTGTTTTGTGCTGTGTAACAGCAGTACAAAACGCATATTGTCACGGGGTTGTCTGTGT